TGCCCTGACCCGGAATCGAACCATGATCTCCAGGATCCTAGATCGATGCTCAACCGCTGAGCCATGCCCGGCTGGGCAGCATATTTTTGACATGTTAAAAAATTGACACAATTTTCTAAGATCTTCAGGGCATTAGTAGTTGTACCTTTACGTATGAATTTCATCTCCACAAATCATCCTGGTTAATAAATTTTAAAATATTAATAACTATGTGTGGAAATACTTATCTGTTCTTCTGTTTTTGTAAATTAATGATTATTGTTTTAAATGTCTTTATTTTTCTCTTCAAGGTTCAAAACGGAGAAAGAGAGTCCAGAAGTAAATCACATGCTGTGTGAGCCAGTTTCCTTTCCTTCCTTTCATGTGACTTTTCTCTTTTTTCTTTTTTGGGTGTTTTCATGTGAGTGTTGTGGGTGGGGTAGTGGGGAAATACCTATGTCTCTGAAAAACCAATTTTTTATTAAAATAAATGCTTTGTACAATTTATTAAAGGCTAACTTATAAAATTTCAAAATGTTTAGGTTACATGTACCCTTTAAGCTGTCTGTGCCTGTGAAAGGTCTGGATACTTACAGAGAAATTGCTGTGACGTGCACTTTCCCGTCGTGTGTCTTTCCCAGAATATAACATGCTTGACGAGTCTTTCCTTTAAAGGAAATAGGAAACTTAAAATAAAAGGGTCTTTTCGCTTGATACAAATGTGCAATTTGTTGTGGTCATAATTTTGGTTTTTACTGATTTTGTTCAATTCCACAAGCATTTCTTAAGCACCTGCTATATGAAATGAGAGGTACAAAGGGAAAGGATATGAAAGAATGTGGGGTAGTAAGTAAGTGTATCTGTGACTGGTCAGATATATGTGTTTGAACGTTAGATTACATAAGGATTATGGAAGTGTGTAGGCTCTAAGGTGAGAAGACAGATGGTAATTGTCAAGTGGTGACATGATCACAGACTTTATAGACTGGCTTCATTTAAGGAAATCCTGTGAAATACATCTGTATATCTATATCTGTACGTCCGTTTAATGTATCTATATCTATCTCTATATCTTATGGTTTAGTCACAGGTTATTTTTCTTAAAAGTTTCATTTTTTGTAGCATATAATGTTTGTACAGTAAACCAAGCTCTCGAGAGTTTTGGTGATTAGAAATTTAAAGATGTGGACTTTTTATAGTTGCCCTGGAAACAAACTTGGAATTTAAATGTTTATGAACCATTTCAAGGTTTGCTTTGTTAGAGAACCTGGGGCTGATTGGATTTTCTAATGGTGGCAGGCCTTCCCCGTTGTATCACGTACAGGGTTTTAGGTGGTGTAGAGACTCACTTTTACTTAAATACTTAAGTATTTATTTTTAATATGTATTCAAAATATAAGTAGCCATGCCAAGCTGGTGATTTTCTGTACTGCTTAGGACAAGCCTAATATTTCAGTTTGTAAAAAGTGAGTTGATCTGAAGAAAATACTAAGTAACAGTATGGGTGGGATGTTGACAGATAAAAAATTGTCCAGGTTGTACCAAGTTAGAGCAACTCTGGGCAACACAAAGACTAGAACTTTCACTCTCTGATGTGGGCATTCAGTTGTCACTTGCAGCATTTATCCCTGAAGTGGTCAGACACTGAGACATGCGAAACAGACCGCAACTTCCCTGTGAAGGTTGGTCTGAAAGCCTCCCCAAGTTGTAGGGCTCTGTGTCTGCAGAAGAAGGAACTCGGCCCTGGGCAGAGACTTCTGCTGTCTGTGGTGTTGGATTGTAGTCCTCACCAGTGTTATGGTCCCGAGTTTATTTGTAACACCTAAATCAACTCTCAAGTTCTGTTTCAAACACATTGACGCCTAAAATAGGATAAACTGTGTGTGCTGTGTTTTTGTGTATATGCCTTAGCCCTTTTTATTTTTCAAAACACAAAAACGTAGCAGAACCTGTTGGTTAAATATTAAGAAAACAAATATTTCCTCACATATTGTTTTTAACAAGTGCTGGCATTTTCTCGAATGTTACTCTATTGGCAGGGCTGCAAAAATGGAAAACCAGTAGCCATAGTAGCCAGTCTGATTCTACAGCTGCACCCCTTGTCTGCTGGCTTTCTTTCCTGGCCTCACACTGGTTTTTCTTACCCCCTTTTATTTTATTTTAAAATATTTTTATTGATTTCAGAGTAAGGAAGGGAGAGGGAGAGAGAGAGAAACATCAATGATGAGAGAGTCATTGATCGATCGGCTGCCTCCTGCATGCCCCCTACTGGGGATCGAGCCCAAAACCCGGGCATGTGCCGTAACCAGGAATCAAACTGTGACCTCCTGGTTCATAGGTGATTGCTCAACCACTGACCCACGCCCACTGGATGCCTACCCACTTTTTTCTTTTTTTTCTTTTTTTAAAAAAAAAGTAAAATAATCTTGCCCTTATTTGGAGTTATGCTCCCCCCCCTTGTTCAGTTCTACATTTACTATGTTTATCTTGTGTTGTTTTTATTATTTTCTTTCCATTCCCTGCATTCAGTGGGGTTTGCCATTCTTTGTTCACCCTTCAGAGTTCAGCTTCCATATCTGACATGTTTCCCACACCATTTTGTCACCTTCTCTGCCGTTTTCTCAGGTCTATTGAGGACCGACACCTGTGCCCAGCTCCTGTCCTCACACAACAGGAGTTATGTGTGTTCCACATTTTCTAGGAAGCAACCAGTAAACCTTTGTAACTGACTAAGCCCTGAAGTGAAATAGCTTCTAGGTGTTCTTCAGGAGCCATCTCTAAGACAAACAAAACCCCACTGACTTCTCTGAATTACTGAGTTCACTGTGCCTGTAGAGACTCAGCTGCATAGCAGTAAGTTAGTGGTGGTAGTATAAATAATTACATGCAATTTCGAAAATGAAATATATTTTAGTAAATACTGCCTTTATAATTATTCAAAGTGTGTGTATACGTTTTTTTGGGATCCCCTGTTTACATGCACTTTGAATAATTATTAATTCCAATGGGTTAAATCTGAAAAGAAAGAAACATCAATTGAGCTATCAGCTGTTAAAGTGTGTACATTTTTTTTGGATACCCTATATATGTATACTCGAACATTATATGCTTGTTTATCCCTTAAAATTTTATTTTTAGTGTCCTTTACTAGTCTGGCTGTCAAGATGTATTGGTAATACAGGGTCATTGTAGAACATTTGGAACATGCAGAAACTGTCCAAAGACACACTAGCCTAGCCACACTACTGCCGCCCCTGACAGCCACTGAGAAGGTTCAGACACATTTTCTTCTAGTCTTTGTAGGCATTTTTATCTTTAATTATCATACTATATATGAAGCTTTATATTCTGCTTTTTAAAGATAACATTAAATAATTGCCATGTTATTACAGAGAATAAATATAATTTTTATGTTTTTATAATATTTTTTCTTGGATTTATGATACTTTCATGACCATTTCCTTCATATTGGACATTTAAGTTTTTTTCAGTATTGGAATGGCATAAGGAATATTCTTCAATAAAATTGGGCAGGAATCTGTCCACATGTATAAATATTTCTTTAGATTTTCTAAAGGGAACCACTTGGCCCAAAGGCTGGAGGAGTGGAAGAAGGTTGCTGATGCATATTATCAGATTGCCTTGAAAAAGTCCATCCCTTTGCACTTGTAAGTCAGAGAGCTTGGCTTGCGCTTCTGTCATCCCTGAGTGTTACTAATTTTTATACTTTGATCATGTGAGTTCTTTTAATAGCTAGTGAGCCTGAGCAGTTTTTATTTGTAAACTCTTCATTCTGGTCTCTCTTTGGTGTGTGTGTTTGTGTTGTTTGTATAGTAAGAACCTTAACCCTTTGTCACGTGTGTTGCTTATTTTTTCTGCTTTATTTTTTATTGCTATATTTTTTTATTTTTATGAAGTTTGATTTTTATCACTTAATCTATTGATCTTTTTCATTATAAATTCTGCCACTGTTTTAAAATATTTCTCATTGTGAAATCAGAAATATTTATCATGATGTTTTCTAGGTTTTTTGTTTTAATACTTCTAAATTTTTAATCCGTGTCAAATTTATTTTGGTGTGTATATGCCATGAGGCAAGAATCACAATGGATTTTTTTCCAAACAGCTAACCAGTAGCTTCAGTATCATTTGTTAAATAAATTTTCTCCCCCACCCTGGTTTGTGATAACTGCTTTGTTACAGATTAAGTTCTTATACCAGGGTCTGTTTCTGGACTGTGTGTTTGATTTCATTGATCTGTCTATTCTTATGCCCACACCACACTGATTTAATTAATGTCATTTAACTTATTAATTCTTATTTATTGCCCAGATCACATTAATAAAAATCAAAATGGAAAAAAAAAACTTACAATCTTGTCACCAGTACACAATTTAAACTCTTGTCCTTTGGCTGTTATTTTTTAGTACTGTTTCACGCCCACTTAATTTTTCATGGTTCAAATAGTTGCGTAGATAAAAGTTTTGTGGTTTTTGTTTTTTTCTTAAAGTGCACAGGTTACTCTGTATCCCTCTCATTTATAAAGCTCTACAAAGAGTACCAGGCACATTGAAGTTCTAATACTGGAAAAGGGTCTTTCGGTAAATGTGGCCTCCACTGTATTCCATGCAGTATCCCACTGACTCTACGGTTTAGGTAGCTATCACTCAAGTGTTATTTTACAAGCAAATGCTTACCATTTCCAGTGTGCTAAGGATGTGTCATTCATCTAATGGTGAGTGTTCTTTTATTATGGCAGTAGCATTTTGTAATTTATGAGTACGGTTCTTAAATTTTTGTAGTTTTGGCTTGTGAAAAGTTGCCTGTGAAGTTTCTGCATTGAGCAAGTGAGTTGTATTTATATACCACTGTAAATGATCTTCAAAAAAACACCACTTTTTGACTTAGTGAAGTTAAGCATTTGTTAGAACTGTCTGAATGATCAGGAGTGTGAGTGGAGATGATCTGTAAGGTCATCTTTGTGCCTGGAGTGTAGAGACAGACAGGAAGGGTTTGGAACGCCTGGCTTGGGAGCTTGGAGGAGGTGGGGGGAGGGACAGTGTTCTGAGATCTGTTCCCATTTTTCTGTAGGTTGTGTTTCTGCTTCTGACATCTTTTAGACGCAAGTGAAAATGGTCACAGTTATGTAAGTGAAGCCTAGACTGCAGCTTGTTTAAAAACTGAAGAACAGCTGCATTCAATATCCTTTCTGACCTTGACACAAAAATCTTAGTACAGAGTCTGTAATGCTCCTTCTTGGTGTAATTCTCAGCTGTGAGAAATGCTTCTACACACATTCCCAGACCTTCCTCATAAGGGTCCAGTGCATGCTAGTCTTAGAGGTCAGAGTGAAGCAGCTGAAGGGCCTGCTAACCTGAACGTGGTGAAGTGCTGTGGCAGTCTGTCACGGGGAAAGTGACAGCTGGGCGTGCCTGTGGGTTCTGTTGGATAGCCTGCTGAAGGGGGGAGAGGATGAGTTCCGTTCCTGAACTTTTCTAGATAGAGAAATGCGCCTTCAACAGCCTTCAGAAGACCTTTATGTTCCGGGCATTAGTTTCCACTCACCTCCACCCCAATTAAAAGCTTTGTCTTCATGTGTGTGATGAACTTTACAGAACGTATTAGTGCTAATGCATGAGTCAGCTGCCCTGGGGAAGGGCTGTGTGCGTCCTACCCTGGTCAGCAGTAGTTGCTGAGGCACCTGAGCTGCTCCCTA